GTGAGAACTTTCCCTGTATTGTGCTGGTACAAGTCCAAGGTGAGTCTATATAGTTGCAGCAGACCAGCTTTCTTAGAGCAGAAGGTTTTCTTTACAGTCACTGGCCTTTACACCTTGCACAAAGGTAGGTGATACCAGACTACTCAGCTGATGTTAGTTATGTAATGTGATGGAAAGTGAAGACCCAGTGAGAAAAAGAATGGATAGAGAGCAGCTCTGAGGAGAAGGACTTGGGGGTATTGGTGAATGAGAAGCTCAACATGAGCCGGCAGTGTGCACTTGCAGCCCAGAAAGCCAATCATGTCCTGGGCTGCATCAAAAGAAGCATTAGCAGCAGGTCGAAGGAGCTGATTCTCCCCCTCTACTCTGCTCTCGTAAGATCCCACCTGGAGTGCTGTGTTCAGATGTGGGGCCCCCAACATAAAAAAGACCTGGACCTGTTGGAGAGAGTCCAGAGGAGAGCCACAAAATTGGTCAGAGGGCTGGAGCACCTCCCCTGTGAGGACAGCCTGAAAGAGTTGGGGTTGTTCAGCCTGGAGAAGAGAAGGCTCCAAGGAGACCTAATAGCAGCCTACCAGTACCTGAAGGGGGCTACAGGAGAGATGGATAGGACAAAGGGTAACAGGTATAATCTGAAAGAGGGTAGATTTAGACTAGACATTAGGAAGAAATTTTTCACTGTGAGGGTGGTGAGACACTGGAACAGGTTGCCCAGGGAAGCTGTGGATGTCCCATCCCTGGAGGGGTTCAAGGCCAGGCTGGATGAGGCTTTGAGCAACCTGGGCTAGTGGAGGGTGTCCCTGCCCATGGCAGGGGGGTTGGAACTAGATGATCTTTAAGGTCCTTTCCAACCCAAACCATTCTATGATTCTATGACCCTCCCCATATCACACTAGAAGTTAAGCAACTGGTTCTCACTGAAACATTTGTTACTCTGGAGGGATGGTAGTCCTGAGCCCAAGAGCTTGGCTGTAGCAGATGGGAGAGATGATGAGAGGCTGCAACACTCAAGGAAAACATTCTCCTGCACATGGATTCTTAGGATGTTGGTATGTCATACTAATAGTAAAGAAATTGCAGGAAGATGCCTGTAGAAAGGAAGCCAAAGGAAAGGAAATCTCAGCTCCTAAGAAACACTGCTTTCAGAAAAATTTTTATTGAAAACAATCTTTAGGCATAGTTAAATGTTAATGGTGGTATTTTTATCCTTAAATCTTAATATCTGTACATACTGAAATCATAATTTACCCAAAGTGGAACAGAAAAGAAAGTTTGTTGTGACAAGTAGCAGTCCTTTGGACAATCAAGTTCACTACTGGTGTAAGTAATGTATCTCCACTGTCTTTGACAGAATTTTAGCCACTCATGGTGTTAAGAAATTTGGCCTTTACAATTTAAAAGTTCAATAACAAAATTATCAATGGAATGGATAACTTCAATTTTATGTTTGAAAAGTGAGAAATTGATAACAGTGGATTTCCCAGAGTTGACACTGATTGAGTCTAGACTTGATAAAATCACATTCCCATACATAGCGTTGTCAAGCCTAAGCTCTGGATTTAGAGACACAGTAAGGGTGAAAATGTGCACCCTATATGAGGGTGCTAGAGTGGAGTTTCAATTTTGCTGAACTCTTGACTGAAGGGAAAGAATATGAAATATGTGAGAGCACTGATAGGAAAAATATTTCTGTCTAAGGGAGAGATCGGTGACCACTAATAGAATGAGGAGTTACAGCAGTTGCAAATAAAAGATGAAGAAAGAGTAACAGTCACAAAATTCAAGTTTCTATTTAGTCTGGGCAAGTTTGAATCCCAAAAGAGGGAAAACAAAGACTCTGGATGTCAGAGAAGCAGAATGAAATAGAACTGAGGGCAAATAGTTTAAAACATTTTATAACAGCATACCCTTTATATTTCTATAAAGGGTATTTATATAAAGGGTATATTTATATTTTATAACAGCATAACCCTTTCAGATAATATAGTGATTAGGAAGCTTAGTGAGAACAACAGCAGCAAACATTTATATTAACATATGTCCAGTTCAAGGCTTAGAAAATTAAAAATTTATCTGGAAAGCTTTAGGCTTTTCAGTTGTGAGCCAGCCTGTCACTAACAGGACATTTCGCTTAAGGACTGATTATTACATCTTTATTACTTTGTTAGTCATTAGTACAAGGTCACATTTAGCTTGTTGAAACTGAGGAGTTGGACCTTATACTGTCATTTTAATCCAGGCAGGCAATTCCCATATTGCGCTATGTTGGCACAAAAAACAGAATCTACAAAAAAACAATTTCTCTCTGGACTGCGGGCCTAGGATGCGTATCCTCCACAACCTTTGCTTCCTGATTTGTTCAGTTTGGACAGATACCAAAAGACTTCTGGAAATTTTTGTTGTCTGCCGGTAAAGAAATGATGGGTGTAACCTTATCGTTTCCTAGCGTGCTGTGGTTGCTTAGTATCTCGTTAGCCTGTTTATCTTGGAAGGAATCCTTAGAACAAAACCATACTATCCTGTGTAAAGGAATGGGGAAATTATATGTGTTGCTACCTTGCTGACTAGCGAGGCTTGTCTGTGGCACTTAACATTGGCCAGCATAGAGCTTCTGGCAGACTTTTGGGAATACCCGCAGTAGTAGCTACATCCCTTAAACTCCCAAGTATTTCTGCATGAATGAGTGCAAACTATTGAACACGGAAGTGAAGTAGTTTCTGAGAAGTTGTGTGGCTACGTTATTGTGCCACTTAAGCCCAGCCGCTATTTTCAGTGAGGCTTTTTGTGGGGTAACGTGGCTGCGTGACTTCTGGACTAGAATTAGATCACTTCCAGCATTTTAGGAGAGGGGGCAGTGCAAACATGATACTGTACTGCTCATGTGGATCTGTCCCGAGTGTCCACAACTGTTCATGGGTTGGACATAAAGGGAAATTTGTGTGCAATCCCCTTGAAAATATCCTTGTGTGTGTAACAGCCACTGTTAGTCTTACAGTTTTTTCAGGAAGTCAGTGAAGCCAAATAAATCTGTAGAAACTTGAATCCAGTGTGGACTGAGGAAATTAGCCTTTTCATCGACCTGAGTCATTATTTGTTATTTTGAAATTTCCTTTTCTTTCTTTGCCAGAGAGCTGTCTAGCAATGTAGGACCAGGGGGAATTTTAGGCTAAAATAAGAATCCAAGATCTCTCTGAAAGTCAAATGTAATATTAAATTCATACAGCTGTAGACAATTCTTTAAAATGGTTAAAATCTTTTCTTGAGGCAAAACATATTTAATTATTGCTCCCAGAGCCCTCAAGAAGCAGTATGCAAGAATACCAATATTTCCAATTTGCCAGAAAAAACTGTACTTCCATAATATCAGACAAAATCCTCAAGTAGATACAATTTAATATCTTGTTTGTAGTCTTTAAGAGAAGTCTAAGAGAGGATATGACATTAGGATGGCCACATGCAAAAAGAGTACAGAGAAAGCCTGCCAGGTGCAGCTGTTTAGTTTGGCCCTTTAAAACAGAACATGAGGACACTCAAAGATAAACAGATGGTTTAAAATTGAATTGCAGTAGCATTTAAATATGGTGAATCATCTAGAGAATGTTAGTTGTAGTTAGCAATTAGTCTTATCCTTTACTAATAAAAAGAAGGACACTCTAAAGCTAAAAGACAACAATTGTTAAATCAGGAAGGTAAGAAAGTAGATTACCTAAAAACATTTAATCAGTTCACAGCAATCTCATGTCTACATGCTATTATTGAAGTAAATAGCATAGTAATTCTTTTGAAAGATGTCAGAGAGAGAACAGTGGAAGTACTTAAATTAATTGAGATTATGGGAAATATCAAATATTGATAAAAACCAACTGTATTATAACCTCCTTTCATACCATAAATAACTGTATGTTTTCCTCTCAAACATTAGTAATAAATACTATTGGAAGCAGGATGCTGGACCAAATAAGTAAGAAAGGTGCTGAGAACTACTTCTGCCCTTTCCTGAGCATTATTTCTAACCAGGCTGGCTCCAAAGCTTGTTTATAGTTTTGAGGTTGAATCCGACCATTTCTAGGTTCTCACTGGCTTTGGTTCTGCTTGAAGAGATCTTGCCAAGATCTGAAGCCACCTGCTTGGATTAAAAATTCCACCCCTAAAAGCATGTACTGCTGAGTTCCTCATGCTTATACTTCAGGTGTGCGTGCTGGCTGTAACTGATCTCTTCTTAATACTTCATTTAGAATAAACTGGTGAGTAATGTCTGTGCTATCCCTTTGCATCTCTTTCTAATCCAACCTAAGACCCTTGCACATAGCAGAAAGGTCAGTGCACAATCATACTAACAGAGAACATTAATAGCTCATTTTGTTTTGTTTTGCTTTGTTTGAAGTGAGGTTCAGGTATTGATGGTTACACTAGAATGTGCTGAGGTTTTTTGCATAGCTTCAGACTTCTGTTTGGCAAACCAAATAAACACATGACCTGTTCACATCTCTAATCTTTATCAGTCGAAAGTATCTACTGCTCCATCTTAATCTTCAGAGAATTTAGTGATGATGGTGATATAAACAAATCCTATCACGCCATTGGGTAAACTGCATGTCTTCTTGTGCTTGGAATCATTATTAAGGGAGATCTGTCAGTCCTTCCATTAATTATTTACAGTAAAAGTAAAATATGTCCAGAACCATAGTTTGCAAAAGGTTACTGCCAGCTTCACTTCATGTTTAGGCTGTTTGCTTTATCTGTGGGTCAGGATCTGCATATGCTACTGTTGGCTGCTGTTCACTCTAGAGTCATTTTACCATATCAGAATCCAATGGCATGCAATAATCATTCCATGGAAATCACAAGATCTTTATGCCTCAGTCTTAAATATGAAGGAAGAAAACAAACATTAGAGAAGAAGAAACATTGGGTAGGGCTGCCTGCATGGTTTGAATTAAGATAAAAAAGCACGTTGCATGTGACTGTCTACTAGCAATAATTTCATTTGGTTCACCTAGAAAAAAGAAGAATGGAGAAGAACTGCCAAAACCCTCTCTCAGTAATCAGTACCGAATTGTTACACCCACATTCCAGTATAATATGGACTACAAAAAAGTTGGCAAATGCATTATTATAAACAACAAAAATTTTGAAGACAAAACAGGTAATGTTCTTCCTTTGATAAAACTCATTACAGACTTTAGAATTTTTATACTTTCATTAATCAATAAGCAGTTTATTTTTAGGACATGGAGTTTTAATTAATACATTTATCTTTTTTGAGAAATAGTTGTTCCTACAACTTATTCCTATTCTTTAACACTTATATTAGAGCGACTCTTTGCAGCTTCTTTGCAGTGTATGTTTCAAAGAGCATGTCACCTTGCTCTACCAACTAAACCTTTGTCCCAGAGTTTAAGGCTGTGTTGTTTAAATTCGAACTTTGGCAACTGCAACCCATGTTGTAACTTCTCTGTCCCTGAGCTACAGCTATGAGCTACAAAAGCTAATAGCTGTATCTGTGCTCTGTTCACAGTCCTGCATTTAACTTTTGAGATCATGTACAGCTTCAAAGCACACAGATACTCATGTTGTAGTCGACTCTATAGGTCTTTTCCTATATGCTTGGCAAACACACTAAATGAAATGTATAATCCAAAGAATTCACATCATCAGTTCATTCATCACATCAGTTTCTTTTATGTGGGTATCATAGAAACTCTTTTCAACAGTTTCCCTTGGGGTGCTTTATGCATATGTTACTCTGCATAACCAAAAGGAGATAGAATCATCCATAGAAGTCCTATGTTGGAAGGTGCTGGAGGCATGCCGACATTTCTCGGGATAACATACGTGTTAAGATTGAACCTTGCATTATTTTGCATTAAAATAAATCTCACTATTTATTCTGAATGCTGAGAATGCAGTGAGAGGATTGTTTGAAAATTGCATCACCATGACATTGTTTAGGTTTAGCAATTAATAAACCTAAAAATTTACCTTTGAACAGGGTATGTTATTTTGAATTGTGCAACATGCAATCAACCATATTCTTTGTTTTGTGACAGGAATGGGTACACGCAATGGCACTGATAAAGATGCTGGAGATCTAGCCAAGAGTTTTAGAAACTTAGGTTTTGACGTTTGCATATACAATGACCGAAGCCGTGATGATATGGAAAAATTACTGAAGCAAGGTAAAAATTTAGAATCATAGAATAATTTGGAGTGGAAAAGACCTCTGGAAGTCACCAAATCTTGCCCCTGCTCAAAGCAGATCAAAGTAGAACAGATTGCTTAGGCCCCACTACATGCAATTTTCTGTATAGAAGGATTCAGTTTCTGAATGGATTAGGCTTAATTCCCCAGCTCTTCCTCCAAATTCAATTTGGAAATATACCGGTTTTTTGTCATATTAGGTGAGACACCGGTCCTGTGTATTATAAAGAGTCTTGTCATATTAGGTGAAGATTCTGGCCTGTTGACTCCAGTGGGCTAGACTCGGAGTCAAGTGAAAGATACATTCTTGTATTCAAGATGCTCATCACATTACTGAAAAGTGTGTTGTGTTATCATTATCCACTCCTTCTTATGCCTTCCAGTAGAGGCCCAATGTATATTTAGTCTCAGAAGAAACGTGTTTGCTAAATATAATTTTCATTCAAAATGTTGCTTCCTTTTGGCTAAGAAGTATTTGATTTATAGCTTCTGAGGAGAATCACAGTGATGCCGCTTGTTTTGCCTGTATCCTTCTAAGCCACGGGGAAGAAGGCCTCATCTATGGCACCGACGGACCCATGGCTATCAAGAGTTTGACTGCACTATTCAGAGGAGACAAGTGTAAAAGCCTTATAGGCAAACCCAAATTATTTTTCATTCAGGTAAGAGCCCTAAGGTAAATATAATATCCTCCTGCTGCAGTGGGGAAAACATGCTATGTGGGTTGTCTGCTCTAGAAGAGCCCTGTAGATTAATTTACTGAATTTTGCTGCTGGTTTTGTGAAAAAATGTATTGAGAGAAGTTGACTATGGGTGACTTTTATGGTTTGTTTTTAAAAGGTAATTTCTATACAAGATTCACAGATGTAAAAAACATATTGTCGTTGTAATTTTGTACATAGTTTCTCTTTATGCTTGGTAATGTATGAACTTCAAAGCAGAAAAACAAACTCCGTCTTGTGCAGACAGAGCTGAAGACAGTATGTGGTTATCAATAGAAATAATACTGCCCAGGTCTCTTTGAATAGAGGCTGTCCCTACAAATTACTGCATTCTACAGAAAGAAATATTGTTTCCCTCACGCAGTAGCCTAAAAACTTATATTGCATTATTACATTAGCAGATAATAATTGTATATTACCTAAGCTTTTAAAGACAGATGTTTCACACAGTATTTACTGACATACCATGGGTCTGAATTATCTTTTTTATCATAGTATTATGTACTTATGGGAGTTGTAGCAGGTGTGGTTTTCCCTAGGCTGTTCCATCAATTAATCCTCAGCCTCAAAATGAAAACTGTGTCTATTTTAGACAGTTTATGCTACTAGAGTGATGTTTCTATTAATTATAAGCTTGGAACAGGTGCTTTTTTGCCTTTAAAATTATCTTAATAAAGGCAACCAACTGATGTTATATAAGCCCATCAGACTACTATTTTTCTGCAGGAGCTGTCAGTCAAAGCTACTGATATGGAGATATGATAATAATATATAAATTATAATAAA